AACAAGGGCCTGAGACCCTTCGTTCATTCATCCTACTTTTCAAGGTTTTTCTGCTCTAAGTGCTTAGGAATACAGGAATAAAGCAATACATCCAACCCTGGAGGGGTATGGACAACTCACAGGCATCACAGTGTGATGGGTGCTGGTAGGGTAACAGAGGGACAAACAGAAGCACAGAAAAGGGCGACCAAGTCAGACCAGGGTGATGGGGACCAGTCAGGGATGGCTTCCTGGAGTCAACACCTGAGCCGAGTCCCGGAGAAGCAGGAGTCAGGGTGTGTCAGACAAAGGGAACAGCACACAGAAGGCTGAGAGAGGCAAGATGGGAGTGGCTAGACTATGAATGGAATAGGAGGGAGCAGGGAGGCATGAGGCTGGGAGATCAGCCAGGAAGAGGAGCTTGTATTTGATTTGGTTGGCACTGAGGAGCCAACAATGGCTGATGATTGGCACTCCCTGCTTGTTGATAGAATGAACACATGGGAAGAATGATAGCTGCGGGGTTCCATGCACGTGCCCTGCAGGGACGGGGGTGGTTAAATGACCTGACTATGTAAAGACAAGCCAAGCAGATGCCTGGACACCAGCGAACCATTTCTCTCACCTCCTCCTCCCCTGCCTGGGCCACCCTGTCACCATTGGGATATTTAGGGCAGCCTCCTCACCAGCTCCTGCTGCTGTCCTGGCCCCTCTGCAGTGTGTTCTCTAATCCACCCAGTGACCTCAAAAAGTCAGGCTCTCCACTCTGCCCAAGGCCTTTGCCACCTCGGCTATATCCACGTGGAAGATGAAATTGCTGCACTGGTCACCCACATTGCCTCTGGCCTGTGCAAAGCTGGTTTTCGTAGGACTGATGCCCCCAGAGTGTCATTGTAAACATGGGACAGGACAGGTATGTGGATGATGAGCTCAGAGCAAGAGTAGCATCCTGACCTTGAAGCGCCCCACTGAACTTGGCTGATGTGGAGAAAAATCTGGTATCACATCGCACCCTCCATCACAGCTTCACATTGCCGAGGAATACCCACCCTGTCACCTTTACCAGACTCGAAGGCCAACAGCAAGAGGATGACCCAGATCAGGCTTGACCTTCAGTTCCTCCTACATGTGTGCCAACCAGGTGTGGCCTCCCTGGGTGCCTCTCTTCACACCAACAGGAGGCCTGTGAGCTCTGGAGCGGTTCCACCCTCAGGGCCCATTAGAGAGGTTTCCACCCTGCCCCACACCGGTGTCTGTATTTGCTGACCATGACTTGAGGGACAAACCTCTCCTCAGTGATCTCAATAAAGAGGCTACAGCTTCACTACCCGAGCTGGGCAGGCTGGGAGCGGGGGGCGGGGGGGATGTGATACACGGAGGGGAATCTGTGCTCTGCTACTCCAGCCTGGAGCGGAAGACACCTCTGCAGTGTCCTCCTCTTCCTCCCTGAAGGAGGGAGGTGAGCTTCTGATGGTCGAAAGTTGTCCTTGGAAAGAAGAGGTCCAGATGTCCCCAGCGTCTGCTCCAGCCCTCCTTCCTGAGCTCAGAATCCGGTGGCATTTCACGAAACAACTTTCAACTGAGTCCCAAAGTGTGATGTTGTCATCCTAAAGGACCTGATGATGGGGGTGCCAACAGAACCCAGGAAGATGTCACAGTTAAGGACACAATCTGTCAGGCAGATGTGAGTCAGCAAGAAGCAGGAGGAGCTGGGCCCATTTCCTGTCCACTGCAAATGCCTCCAAATGATGCAACCGCCTAGTTTTTGTTGCTTGAGTTCATTCACTAGCATAATTTGCCCTGGCCCAAAGTGGCACTTGGAAAAGATTAGTTGGAGGAGTGTGGAAGGGTAGGAAGGAGGGAGCGGAAGAGATGCAAGAAGTATGTGAGCCTGGAACAAGACTTGGAGAAGAAGCCTGTCACTGATCTTGACAGAAATAGCAGCCCTGGATTATAAAGTAAGTTAATTAGTGTAAGTCAGATCCTGCCACCCCACTGCTCAAAGTCCTTGGTGGGCAAGTAGCACTAAGTATCAAAGCTGGAGTTCTTACCACAGGGAGTCGCCTGAAGGAAACTGATCTTATCACCTATACTCCTCCCCCTGCTGTCCTCAGAGTGCCAGCCAAGACCTCGATTCAGGGCTTTTTGTACTTGCTGTCCCCTGTAAACACCTGCAAGTCCCCGGATCTGGAGCAAGACCTTTCCTGTCCGCCCTCTAAATAGCCCCCAGCATCATGCCGTTTCCTTACTCTGACTCATTTTATTTACAGTATCCCTATCTATTCTCTCCCTCCTTTTAGAAGATAGGTTTCCTGAGGACAGAGACTGTGTCTGTCTTGTCCTGTGTCTCTGGAACCTGGAGTTGGGCCCAACACGCAGTAGGTGAGGTGCTCCATAAATGCTTTTTGGAGGAGGATCCTGGACCCCTGATGTACCCCGTGCGGCTTTTCTCTCCCCACAGGCTCTCTGTCTGCAGCTCTTGAGGCACTGTGTCTCCCACCAGCTGTTGGTGGGCTGAGGGGATGGAAACTTCCACTTGAAAATGGGAAAATAGCCACGTTCCTGGCTGGGCTAGAGGGACTGAGAGGAAATTTCCATCAACTGTCTGGCAGGGTGTCAGAGTGGCCAGGGGTACATGAACTTCGGCGCCTGCCCCCTTTTCGCATCTGAGATCAGGAACTCCATCTGGGCTTATCCAGCCTGTGGGGCCTGGGGCCTCCTTCAGCCCTGGGGCCAGAGGATCTTTCATCATCATCAGCTAAATCCCCTCCTTTTCCCGATGGAAAAACAGGCCCAGAGATAGGAAGCAATGTGCCCCAGGTCACACATAAAGTTTGTGACAGACAGTGGACTCAAACTCACTGCATCGCCTGCCTTTTTGCATCTCTTCCACTCACTCCCTCCTTCCTACCCTTCCACACTCTTCCAACTAACCTTTCCCAAGTGCCACTTTGGGCCAGCCCAGTGCCCTAGGCCCTGAGCTCCCTGCCCTGGAGCCTCAGGCTCCCTGAAGCTTTGTCATTGCCACGGCCTCCAATCAGATCACTAGAGCTGCCTTCCCCTCTCTCCTGTCCCCTGTACTTGCCACAAACTTTGCTATGCATTTAAAAATCCCACCCTGCCCTGGCTGGTGTGGCTCAGTGGATTGAACATGGGGCCTGAGAATCGAAGGGGTCGTGGTTTGATTCCTGGTCAGGGCAAAACCAGAAAAGCTGGCGTTCATGCTGCCTGTGACCTGTCAGACCCAATAGGAGAGGCAGGGATTGAATCTTTATGGGCGTTTTATTCAGATGGTTGGTGATCTGAGAAGACAGCGGGTTTGTGCCCCAGCAGACCGTCTTAAATTCCACTTTAAACCGACCCTCTGTATAAGGAGAAGGAAAATGTAAGTAAGGGGTTTGGAATTCAGGGGAAAAGTTAATCGGATAAAAGCTGCAGCATTCTTTCACCTGTGCTCTGGTCTTTATCTGCGTCTTGGTGTCTCACCCTGGAGTACAACAGCTCAGATACCATCTTTGCTTGCAGTCCTCCAGAGGCAAGAGGGTGGATCTGCTCTGGTCTCCCGGAGTTAAGGTGCGTCATACTTTGAGTTCCTGAAAACAATAGCTTTTTACACACATTGATTGCTAAGCTTATTACCTGAAACTAAAATTTTTCCAACATTTGAACCCCTCATCAACGGCACATGCCTGGCTTGCAGGCCAGGTCCCCTGTTGGAGGCATACAGAAGGCAGCCAATGGATGTTTCTCACACATCCATGTTTCTCTCCCTCTGTTTCTCCCTCCCTTCCCCTCTCTTTAAAAATAAATTAAAAAAATTTAAAAATCCCATTGTGAGGTGACTCAGCTGGTTGAGTGTTGTCCCACAAAGCAAAATGTCACAAGTTCAATTCCCAGTCAGGGCACATGCCTGGGTTGCAGGCTGGTCCCCAGCTGGGGTCATAAGGGATCCGCTAAAGAGTGCTGCCACTCTGCCTGAGGATGTAGGATGAGGTCTCGGCTGGAGCGTTCTCTTGGGAATGTTATCAAATAATGGACCCACGATGCAGGGAGCCCCTCGGTTCTAGGTCCTTTGCTCGCCACCCTTAAAAATTACGGCTCTCAATGGCAGAATTTGGTGTAAAGGAAAGGAACTATTTATTCAAAAGTTATACAAGTTTTTAATAATGGCTCAATGTCACTGTCAAAGTCTCAAAACCCCTTTAAAACAACCACCAACACACAGTCCTGCCTTCCCCCACTTTACCTAGTCAGGCCAGTCGGGGGTGCCTGTCCTTCAGAAGAAAAAGAACAGAAGTCCGGAGCTCAGCTAGGCACGTCCCTTGTGGTTCCCAGCACCATCCTCTGCGTCGCCATGACCTCCAGTTTTTTATTCAGAACCACGCAGCACCTTCCCATGGCCCACTAGCAAGAGTCCTTTCTCCCCTTTTCTTCCCGCGTGCTCTTCACATTGTTTCCCCGAGTCTGTGTCCCGTTGTCTCTCTCGCAGGCCCTTTCTCCCCTTCCCAGTTACGTCCTGCTTCCTAAGCTCCTTGGTCAAAAAGCCTCTAACGTGGCTGCTGTGCGGGGGTGGGGGGGGTGTTAAACCCGTTAGCCTTGTTGATGTGCAAAATAACCATCTTTGCATGTGAAATAGGAAGCTCTCCTCCTGTTATTGACATGCAAAATGACTCTCAGTGGCCCTGCTCCCAGTCTCCCATCTCCCATGGCGGCCGGCCTAGAGGGGGAGGTGAGACTATCCTCTGTTTTTCTTGGACACCCCAATTTCTGGATCCTGTTACAAATCCCTTTTGGGGGGCCATGGCTCTGCCCTGTTGCAGGAATACCCTCAAGTTAGCCCCCCTGGGGACAGAGTCAGCATTTGGCTGCCTGCTGTACCCAGACACACTAATGCCTGATTCCAACTGCAACAAAGAAAGAAGAATCTTCTACCCCTCTTTCTCTGAGCTATCAGAGGGGAGAAGCTTTAGACTGAATAGTACATGAAAATTTCAATCACAAACTGAATTGAACTTTTCTTTTTAAATATGGACCGCTCCACGAATTTGCGTGCCGTCCCCGCACAGGGGCCGTGCTAATCGTCTCTGCATCATTCCAATTTTAGTATATGTGCTGCCGAAGCGAGCACTGAACTGAATTTTTTAAGACCTAGAAGATGAGGTTGTGCTTTGAATCAAGACCATTTTAAGCAAGGCCAAGTCTCCAGAGACAGCAAAGAGGCTCTGGCAAGAATGAATCAAGGGGCCGCCGTTGCCCTGTTTGGTGACCGGTTCCCCTGGTGTTGGTACTAGGAAGCCAGCCTGTGCTGGACATTGATGGAACTGCTGTCAAAGGCCCGTGCAGCCTTGGCGAGGCCCTTTATTTCCCTGCGCTTCAGTTTCCTGAGCTGTAAAATGCCTCTCTTTTCAAAGGGCCCTGCTAGACTTAGCCAGTTGGTAAAGAGATCTGAGGTCTCTCAGCTCCAAGCAGGAAACTTAAATGTGTCCTCAGCTCAAAGCTTGAGACAAACTGGAAGGTCTTGGGAAGCGAGTTAGGCCACAAGTCTGAGAAATGATCTCCTCTGATAGGGAGGAAATACAATTTTTAAATTTGTTGTTTAAAGATGTTAATTGCAATGTTACTCTGAACAGCTTTATTGAGATGTTAATTTACATACCATAATTTTCACCTCTTTTAAGTGTACAATTTAATGACTCTTAGTAAGTTTAGAGTTATTATCACCACAACTTTATTTTAGAGCATTCAAACGTCCCAGAGATCTCTCATGCCTATTTTCACCCCCATCCCTGGCAACCACTAATCTACTTTCTGTCTTAGAGATTTGCCTTTTCTGGGCATTTCACATAAATAAAACCATGCAATATACGTTTTTTTGTTTCTGACTTCTTTCACTGAGCATAACGTTTCTGAGGTTCATCCATGCTGTAGCATATATCAGGACTTCATTCCTTTTTATGGCCAAACAGTAGGCTATGGCAGGGGTCTCCAACTCTCCCCTGGCCTGTTAGGAACAGGCATACAGAGAAGCTGGCCTAATGCCTGAGTTCTGCCTCCTGCCTCCCCCCACTCCCTCCCTACCACCCACAGCTAGCGCAGCTCACCTGGGCTCTGTAGCCAACGGCTCCCCCCCCCCCCCCCGCCCGCCCTCCCTCCCCTGCCCCCCCAAACATCTTCCATGAAACCAGTCCCTGGTTCCAAAAAGGTTGCTGGTCTCTGATATGGAAATACCACATTTTATTTATCTATTCATCAATGATGGATATTTGGGTGGTTTCCACTTTGGAGAGCTATTATGAATAGTGCTTCTATGAACATTTGTGTGTAAGTCTTTGTGTGGATGTATGTTTCCTTTTTTTTAAAGATTTTATTTATTTATCTTTAGAGAGAAAGGAAGGGAGGGAGAACGAGAGGGAGAGAAACATCAATGTGTGGTTGCCTCTCGACCCAGACCGCAACCCAGGCACATGCCCTGATGGCGAATCAAACCGCTGACCGCTTGGTTCACAGGCTGGCCCTCAATCCACTGAGCCACACCAGCCATACAGGGCTGGATGTATGTTTTCAGTTCTCTTGGTTAGATTCCTAGAAGTGGAATTGCTGGGTCATGTGATAACTATGTTTAGCTCTGTTAGAAACTGTTAAATTGTTTTCCAAAGTGGCTGCGTAATTTTACACTATCAGCAATGCATAAGGGTTCCAATTTCCTCATCTCCTCGATACTTAACTTCTTTTTCATTATAACCATTCTAGTGTGTGTGAGGATGAAACACATTGTGGTTTTGATTTGTATTCCTACAATGACTAATGATGCTGAGCATTTTCTCATGTACAGATAGGCCATTCACATATCCTCATTTTTTAAAAAAGATTTTATTTATTTAAGAGAGAGAGGAAGAGAGGGAGAAAGGAAAGGAGAGAAACATCAATGTGTGGTTGTCTCTCATATGCCCCCCACAGGGCACCTGGCCTGCAACCCAGGCATGTACCCCGACTGGGAATCGAACCGGTGACCCCTTGCTTTGCAGCCCAGCACTCAATTCACTGAACCACACCAGCCAGGGAATAACATATCCTCTTTGGTGAAAAGCCTATTCAAATCCTTGGCCCATTTTTAAATTGAATTATGTATCTTTTTATTGAGTTGTAACAGTAGTCTTTTAGCAGATATGTGATATTTACAAATATAAATATGTCTGACTTGTCTTTTTTTTATTTTTTTACTTTATCACAAATGTACGGGTTTATTTCTGGACTCTCAATTCTGTTCCATTGATTTATATGTCTATTCTTATGTTGGTACCACAGTGTTCTGGTTACGTAGTTCAATATTATCTTTTGAAATCACGAAGTCAAAGCCGTTTACTTTGTTGAGCCATCTTACAATGTACAGCCATCTGCGGTTGTTCCGCAGGGAGCTGGGCCCCGCATTAACCCAGAGGCACTCTTCCACTCTGCAGCATTCAAGACCCTGTGTTTTATGGACATTCAGCCTCCTTTGTAATAGGAGAAACGCAAAGTAAGAGAAATGTGAAGTAGTAGAAACGCGATGTAGGAGAAACGCGAAGTAAAAGAAAACCAAAATTACATTTTTCACCTAGTGAATTAGCAGAGATTAAAAGGTTGGCCACCGCACCCAGGCGGCAAGGGAAACAGGCACTTTTATGCATTACTTGGGGGAGTGTAAATTAGACCAATGCTAAGCACAATTTAGCAATATCTCCCAAGATTCCCTTTGACCTGATAATTCTACTTCTAGGACTGCATCTTACAAATATCCTTGCACACAGACAAGCAAAATGAAGTAGGTAAAGGGAAGGTCATTCATTGCAGCATTGGTCATAAGCAGCAGACTGGAAACAATTTAAATGCTCATAAATAGGACGTTGGTTAAGTAAATTAGGATTCAATTCAGCCATAACTGGAGTGAGGAAGGCTTTTATGTGCATACAAGAATGATCTCCAAGAACAGTTAAGTAGAAAGGAAGGCAGCAGGCCTGAGCGGTGCACTCCATATATGTAAATGAAAGAGGGGCACACGTAGGCATGTGGTGCCCACAGGTTGAACAAGCTGGGGCCTGTGACCGTTGAACCAAGGAAAAGAGCTTTGTCTTTTGTCCTCACTGCCTGTTTACATGCTTTCTGCAGTTTGGGTCTTCTTGTCCCTTGGTTAAAACCTGGAACAGGGCCCATCATGCTACTGAACACTCCCAGGTTAGGGAAAAAAAAAAGTTTCCAATCACTAATTCATGAAATGGTTTCAGTATTTTGAGAAAGTAGGAGTCACAACTTCAGACTATTCGAAGATTTTCACTCCCCCGGCCTAGGGCTGCTCCATGTGTAAAATCGTCTTTTCTTCTCCCATCCATCCCTTCCTCTTTCCTTCCACTTATCTCTGTTCCATTGATCTCTGTGTCAGGAACGGTTCTAGTCCTGGGGATAGAGCAGTGACCAGGGAGGACTAATGACTTCCTGGAGCTGACATTCTGGCAAGAAGAATTAGATAGTCTGTCGGGGGTGCTGAGAGCTCTGAAGGAAAATGAGGCCAGGGAGGGTTATTAAAAGACTCCTGGTAGGATGGGGTGCTGGTGAGGGTCAGGTGCCCATTTACACAGGTGGTCAGGGAAAGCCTAATAAGGTGACATTTAAACAGAGACCTGAAGGAAGTGGGGCAGCCAGACAGTCATCTGTTCGGAGCCAGGAGCAGCTTCATGGCCATGAAAGACCAGTGCAGTCGCATAGGGCCTTGTGCTCAGAAGGGTCCCCTGTGCTTGGTTTAATGCTTCGCAGTCTCTATCTTAAAATGCTTAAATTTTGAACAAAGTCCTGTGTTTTCATTTTGTGTACAGGGCCCTAGAAATTACAGTCGGTCCCTTCTGGTGCAAAGCAAGTTCCAGGCTGAAGAAACATCACATGCAAAGGTAAAGAGGTAGGAGTGTGTTGGCAACTCTGAGCCTGGGGTGGGGAAAGAGTGCGTGGTTGGCTTCTCTGTTTCTGCCTTTTGAGCCCAGCCGCCCGTCTTCCCTGCCCCACTGCCGTTCTGACCCGTCCATGTCCCTCAGCAGGTGGAGAGGGTGAGGTTACAGAATTCTGTCTTGAGCTAGTATTCACGTTTTCCAGGCTTGGCAGGGACTTAAGGCTGGCTCTTTTTCTCTCTGGAGGGTCGGGGCGCTTCCTTGAAAGTCTTGGTCTCGTCTCCCCCAAAACAGAGCCTGAGACAGAGGCTTAGGAGCATGTGGCTTGTTTGGGAGGGGACTCCAGGAAGCCAAGGGAGGGAGTGGGGAAAGCGAGGCAAGGAAGGAGGCAAAGCACAGAGGAGGACGTGTCTCCCAGGTTGCTGCTTGAGGTAGTGGAGCCTGGGTTCTGGGTCGAGGTGCAAACAGAGAGCCTCTCCCTTGTCATCTTCTCTTCGACAGGAGGCTGGGGCTTTCTCCAACAGCTTCAATGCACCACTGGGTGAGGGCTGTTAACTGCTTGCACTTCTAGCCCTCACCTGACTAGGAGGCTGAGCTAGAGCTTCCAAGAGCCTAGAGGAGGGAGGCAAGCCTGGTGGTGCCTGGCGTGTAGCTGGGATCAGTGTGTCCAGCACTGCCCATCACTGCTGAGGCTGAAATCTCAGGTGGGCCAGGAGGGTGTGGTCCTTTGTGTCTGCCACATTAGGGACCGTCACTGTGGGTTCTCCCATCTGGACATCCCTTGAGAAGGGCAGACGAATCTCCACCAGCCAGACGCTTATGATGGCTCCCTCAGCCCCAGGACATCCCAGCACGCCTCTGGTCTCCTTCCGCTGAGGCCTTGTGGTCCCTTCAGGAGACCTTCCTGGGCTGGATCTAAGGCCGCCCCAGACTGCCTCTCTCCTGTGGGCCAGCTCTGACCTGGGGGCAGCGCACACCCGTGGCCTGCTCGCGTGGGAGTGCAGCTCCCTGTCACCGCTGCCCTCTACTCTGCTGTTGCAGCCAGCCCTTTGGGATTCTTGGGCAAGAGTCAGACACCAGGCCACTGAGTCCCAGGGGACATTGCCATCTCTCTGACTAGTCTCTTTGAGGCCCTCTCACCAGGTCTGAAATGAGAGGAAAGCCACCCCATTCCATCCAAATCTCTCCAAAGAAAACCCTCTCTAACCTCTAACTCCTGACTTCACATTGCCTTCAGGGTAAAGCCCTCCCACCCAGGCAAGGCCTCCTTTGTTCTTACCCTCTCCCTACCTTTCTAATGTCATCTGCTGCCACTAGGTCCCCATGCTTCAGCCCCAGTATGTGGTGGCTCATTCCCTAAACTGACCCCATCACTCATACCTCTGTCCCTTTGCACATGCTGATCCCTCTGCCTGGAAAATTTTCCCCTTCTTCGCTGCTTGGTAAACTCTTCTTCATCCTGTAAGACTCACTGTAAGTGGCCTACAGGTGATGAATCTCTGTAGGAAATCAGTCCCTCTCACACTGCTTTCACTGCATGGTTGAGATTGTGGTCTTAGGTCAGGCTTCCTGTGCCTGAGTCCTGGCTTTGCTAAATGTGCAAGTCAGGAAATTGCTGCAATAATGCTGCATAACAAGTCACCTCAAAATCTGGGGATTTACAACAAGCCTTGATTTTCCTCACCAGTTGGAAGAGGAAGGGAATAAAGGATTAAAATAGAGAAATCATTGGCATTTATTGAGAAGTTACTATAGGTCAGGCACTGTGAGCAATTTATACGTCTTATTTCATTTCTTCCCCACGCCAACCCTATATGGCAGGTGTTATTGATGATGTTTTAGAATGGAGGAGATATCTGTCCAGAGAGGTCACATAACATGCCCAGGGTAACATAGCTGGTAAATGTCAGAGCTAAGATGTGGACCCTGCAGAGTACATTACATGCTTCAGCACTTCGCTGCCTCCAATGAATGATGCCCTCATTTAGGGGAAGAGAGAGGAATGCATTCAGGACAGCTCAGGTACCCACATTCACCCTTTCTTTTCCTTTGGGTCCATTGAAGCCCTTCCTGATGGTCTGACTTATGAAGGCTTTTGACTCCTTTCAGGTACTTGACTTAGGCCCGTGCAAGAATCCAGTTGCCCTGTAGACCCTGATCCTCTAAGGGCTGAACCTGTGGCTTGGGCGGCAGGCGGCGGGTGGGGCACACAGCTGGGTGGTGCACAGGTTATTGAATAGGTTCCCCTTCCAGGGGTGAAGGATTATTGGGCTCTGGGCTCCTAGGGCAGTGGAGTCACTGCACCTCACCAGGTGGCCTAAGCTGGAGGAGGGGGAGGATAGGACAGGGAGGTGCCCTTGGCCATGCTAGAGTTGGAGCAGAGCAAGGCAGGGAAGAAAACATCCTAGCCCCACAGTTGCACTCCGTGATAGCAGTACTGTGTGGCAGATAGGAACTGGACTTGGGTCCAGGTCTGCTGCAAGTTAAGTGAGTAGCCTTGGGCAAGTAGCACCTCCCAAGCATGTTTCCTTATCCACAAACTGAGATAATGACAGGACCCCCTCATGGGCCTACAGTGCATGTGAGGGGCTATACATTGGGCCATGACTGATAGCTGTTCTTACTTCTATAATTTTTAACATTCAGCTCTCAAATACCCACAGCCAACTTTAATGGTTAATTGACTTTCTTTTCTTAAAAAAAAGATTTTATTTATTTACTTTAGAAGGGAAGGGAAGGAGAAAGAGAGGGAGAGAAACATTAATGTGTGGCTACCTCTCGCTTTCCCCCTACTGGGGACCTGGCCCACAACCCAGGTATGTGCCTTGACTGGGAATCAAACTGGGGACCCTTTGGTTTGCAGGCGGGCTCTCAGTCTGCTGAGCCACACCGGCCAGGGCATTGATTGACTTTTCTCCCCAAGCACAACTTCAGGTCCCTTTCTCAGAGCCTGAATACATCAGGAGATATGTGACCTGGAATACATCATTTCTCCCCTTTGGGCCTCAGATTTTCTACCCATAAAATGGGGGTTGGCACACTCCCCTCATAGGAATACATGAGTTTAATGCGATAGTATAAGAGCCCATGTCCCCTTTCTGAGCCCGTTTCCCGGTTTGTCCAATGGGTTAACAGGGTTGTCTGGATCAAAGGAGGTAGTCATGGCAACTGCTATGGGCATGGCTCTGCACGTAGGAAGAGCGTAATATAAACTGTAGCTTTAAAAGTAAGCCCAGTACAGAGCAGGTGTTCCAAAAATGGAAGCTGAATCCAAGTCAGCTTCCAAGTTTTAAAATTTTATTCACTATGGTAGAATATATTCCAACTTATAGAATATACTCTCCATAATGTCCTTCCTTCTTTTCATTTCCTATACCTTACCTTTTCTAAATGATTAGATTTTCTATGCCATTTTTCCTGTCCCTATAGGTAATAGAGATTTAACTGATGTCCATGGGTTTGTCTAAACTTGTTGATGTAGAGACCTGTTTCCTATTATGTTTATATACATTTTATTTTAGTAAAGAAATATACATTCCTCCAGTACATTGCCATTGTCAAAGAACCTTCATATCCATCGTTTTATTTAATCCTCCTAACAGCCCTGTCAGGTTGGTATTCCATTTGACCTTAATAAAACTGAAGCTCAGAGAGAACAAGGAGACTTGCCCAAGGTCACATGGTGAGTTAGGGGTAGGACCAGGACTTGGGTCCTGTCATCAGGCCCCACAACTGTTTTTCCCAATGGACTCAATGCTCCCTCAGGGCAGAGCAGTTTTTCTCCTGGGCTGTCTTCTCTCAGCTCTCCATCCATCAGGCTGTGTGCTCCTAAGATGCGGTGGGGTGTCTCTCACGCTGCCTGGTCTTTGCACACCTGAGGAGTGGACAACCCCTGCCATAGTCTGATATTTACTGAGGGCCTACTATGTGCAGGTATCCCTCCCTCTCTAGATGCTCCCACTCCTGGGGGAGATGGACTCTTACACTAGGGAGCTGGAAATGGGTGTTTCAATACAGGCCCGAAAAATGTGCCTGGGCCTGAGTAGATCATGGGATGCTGCACAAGAAGAGGGTTTTAGGTAGGAACTAGAATAAGACAGGGGTGTGGAAGTGGGATGGAGCTTCGCAGGCAGAGAAGATGGGGAAGGCCAGGCATTATCCCCAGCAGAAGCAGCTTAGGGAGGGGTGGGGAGTGTGGGTTTAAGTGGCTTCGGGGCTCGCTCGGGCCCTAGCTGGAAAACTTGTCCCGTTCCTGCTACAACTTGCTCCCTCCGGATAAAATCAACAAGGCCCAGACTCAGGAGCCGGTGGTTCGTCTTCGCCGGAAGTGGGAACCGCTCAGTTGGCGCCCTCACAGTGCCACCACCACCAAGCCCTGGGACTTGGGGAACCACTTATGCTTCTTGGCCTCCGTTTCCCCATCTGCGCAGTAACCGCAGAGACTTGCCGGTCTCCGCTGACGGTGTGGGATACCCTTCTTGCCTCCGCGTGCAACAAGTGGACGCGGCCCGGGGGTGTGTGGCGGGGGGGAAGCTGGCGCTCGCCCAGGCCTCGGGCGAGCGGAGGCCCGGCCGGAGTCTCAGAGCTGCCCCCTCGCAGCCAGCAGCCGGCTGGCCCTGCCCCCGGCTCGGGGTGGGGCCGCCACCCGGCCTCTGCCTTATCAGCGCGTTCGCGGCGCTGAAGCGCACGGCCGCCTCTTCCAGTTCCGCTGGCTCGGCCCACTGCAGGTACCCGGCGCGGCGCAGTTGGAGGGTCGGGCGGCGAGCCGCTGAGGTGCCCCTGGGGAGCGCGGGGTGCCGCGGGCAGCCCAGGGCTCTGAGTGCGTGGCTGTGGGGAGGGTCAGGCGGGGAGAGAGTGCGGGGAGGCAGGACCGCGTCGCGAGTGCTGGGGCATCTCCGGACGCCAGGGAAGTCAGCGGGGGTGGGGGCACCACTGCGGAGAGAGCGGGAGCAGGAAGGAGGAGCAGAGCGGGAAGGGACCATCTCAGGGGGTGAGTGGGCGGAGGCGGGAGGAGAAGGGGAAGACGCTCGCTGCTTCCAACCGAGAAGGAATCTAGGGGGACTCTTGGGGCTAAAAAGGGTGTGAGGACCTGGAGCTGGGTAATGTGCGGGGGTCGCGGTTGGGAAACCGGGAACAGTGGGAACAGCACTGCTGGGGGCTGAGAGGGGCTCTTGCTGCTAAGGAGCCTGGGCCAATCGCGATGGGGAAGCCCTCCTTGGTGCCAGGAGAGCGAGAGGGTTCCCCTCAACCACTGAGGGCAGGGGAAGATGGAGCCCCACACCGCCCACAGCATTTGCCTCAAATCTGCAGACTTTGAGGATCCAGAGGTTTCCCTGGCTCAGCACCTGCAGGCCTGGCTGAAGTGAGCGGCCAGGTCAGGCCAAGGCTGGGGAGTTTGAGAGTTTGATGGACTCTCAGAGCCTGGTTGCACCTGGGCGGATGACCCAGGATGCTGTCTGAGAGGGACCAGCCTTCTGTCCTGGGGTTTGTGTCACCTCTGGGCCCTTCGGTGAGAAGCCGGTCCTCTCCAGTCTCAGTTCCCCTGCCCAGAGGACTTCTGGCTGGTTAGTGGTGAAGCTCAGGGGCCTTTTCTGCCTCCCATGCTGGCTGACTGCAGCCAGCCTACCCAGCCTCTCTGGGCCTGCGTTCCTCCTTCGGGCTCCTCCCTGACCTCAGAGCATCTGTGAGTCTGAAGCTCCATGGAAGAATCCTTAATTAAGAGTTATTTCTTTCCTTCTGATCACACGTCTTAGTACAAATGGAGACACTCCCCCCCCACCCCCCCGCCCCGCCAAGTACAGTTAGAAAAAATAAAAATGGGTTCTGTTCAGTTTTGGAAGACATGGAAGGACATTTCCTTTAAACATATTGGGCTGAGTTGGGGAACTGGTTTGCATTTAGGGAGGTGACCCAGTTGCTGCAAGCTGGGATGAAAACTTTGCTTGTATTATCTGTGGCCACCCACTGGGTGCCTGGGAGTTGGCCATAGTGGATGAAGGGCAAGAGAACTGGTTTTAGAGTTAGATGGACATGCTGTGCTCTGCCGTCCTGTCCCTGGAGCTGTGACACCAGCTAGATGCAGGTTGAAAGGGTTGTAACCAGCAAGCAGCTGTAAATTATTAATGTTAGTCTTTTGTAAAAAGCAAGCAACTGTAAATTATTAATGTTAATGCCTAATTTTATTAACATTTCAGGGTTGCCACACTGGGTCATCCTTGTCAGTGTCCCTCAAGAGACTTTACCTGTGATAACCCAAGTGTTAACACAGGTCTGGCCTTACGATTATTTTTATTTAATGAGGCTAAACTTTGCTTTCCATGGCAAGATAAAGTTGTCTTTAAGGGAGTGTGCTGAACAATCAGAGCCTAGAAGAGCAACATTGAATACATTTTACCCTTGAACAAGGAGGGGTTTGGGGCCCTGCCCATCCCCCCAGTCAAAAATCTGCCTATGAATTTTTGATTCTCCCAAAACGTAACTACTAATAGCCTACATTGATTGGAAGCTTTACCAATTACATAAACAATTGATTAACACATCTTTTGTATGTTATATGTATTATATACTATATTCTCACAATAACATAAGCTAGAGAAATGAAAATATTAAGGAAATTATAAGGAAAATACATTTACAGTACTGTATGTATTTATTCAAAATATTCACATGTAAATGGACCTGCGTAGTTCAAAGGTCAACTGTATTTTGTTACTAGAGGGAGGCAAAAGAAGTGGAATTATAACCAAATAGTACTTGTTACTTAGGTGTTATTTAGTTAGGCTTTTAAGCTCCAAGAGATCAGGGTGTTGATATCTTTAGGTCTTACCCTTAATTGTTAATTAGCTGGGCTATTAGTTCTGTGAGGTGGTATTTTAACTACTTTGTTCACTGTGGAAGCTCCAGCCCTGGCACGTAGTCCTGGCCTAAAACAAATGTTGGAATGTCTCAGGGCGTGAAGGGCCCTTTGAAGTTACTGGTGAATTCACTGTCCTTGACGTTTGTAGAAAAAGAGCCAGGAGAGGCATGGATTAGTCCAAGTTCACACAGGAATTGAGTGGCTGAGCCAAAACTAGAACCCAACAGAAATAGTGGAGCCAAGGCTGTGCCACAGCCAACACCTAGGATCCGTGACTGTTGTGCTTTTGCAAGAACCATTGACGTAGTTATTATCCTCTGATTTTTAAAGGAGGAAACAGGCTCGGAGAGGTTAAGGAACTTTAGCAATGTCACACAGCTGGTAAGTTCCAGTTTTGAAATCCCATCCTCACATAAAAATGGGAGCCTGGCTTCTTTTGAAATAGTCTGCCAGAGGGAAGTTGTGGACACCCTCCCTTGGGGCAGTAGCTCTCTCTCAGTCACCACTTGAGTGGCCTCACTCCGGGCTGGGCTTTCCTAGGCCCCTGGGCATTTGTTTTGTTTGGTTGGTTTGTCAGGGCAGGGAGCCTGTCTGTTTCATTCACCACGTGTCCCGGTCCCTGTAGCATTCCTTGTGCCTGGCTTGTAGCAGGTACTGAGTAAATCTGTGGGATGTGCACAACCCAGTGCTCTCCTACTCCAAGTCCCATCTACTACCCCATCCCCATAACCTGATCCCCTGTTTTGCCCCCAGAGGTCTTGGGGAACTCTGACAGCGTGTATCCAGCGGAGAGACCAGCAGGAGCTCAGGGTGGCAAGCCTTGGCTGAGGAGCAGGTGAGGAGGTTGACCTCAATTTAGGAAAAGGGGAATGTGAATTTGGAGGGCTGGGGAGGTGGGGGCGAGAGGAGGAAGGAGCTGTTCAGACAGACAGGGACTCCCACTTGGGCCCCGGAGATTCAGTTCTCAGGCTCTACCAACCCGACAGCCTCCCAAACTTGCAAGACATGCCTGGCCAGGTCACATGCCTTTTGGATGATCTGCTAGCACCATTTAGGTCCTTTACCTTCTCCCCGTCACTCTCCTGCTTGTTCAGGGATGCGGCTGCTGGGGCTGCGGCCCTTTCCCTGGGGGTTTCCCTTCCCAGCCACCTCTCTAGGGTCTGTGGGCAAGTGTAAATCTTCAGGGCTCTATGAATCCAGAGGGGTTACTCTGAATGGTCTTTGCTAAGAACATTTTATTTCATAAGGTCAGTGTCCCCAGAAGTCCAAGCTCCAGCCAAATTTCCCATGTCCCAAGGTGTGCTCTCAGTGAAAGATATTTAAAGAGACACAGTTAACTTTAATGAAGGCCCCAAATCCAGTGGAACCAGCTATTGAGAGCTAAAAGAGGACTGAGTTTTTTAGAGAACCCCAAGCCGATCTCTCAGGCTAGAAATATTTCAAATACTTACAATGATTATTAATAATTAATCACTACTATTAATAACAATGGCAGTCATTTATTGAATCCATAAACTGTGCTAAAACTTTGTTCTTTTTTTCTTTGTTTTTTAGATTTTTGTTTGTTTATTTTTAGAGAGGGGGAAGGGAGGGAGAAAGAGAGGGAAACATCAGTGTGGTTGCCTCTCATGTACCCCACCTCCCCCCAGGGGCCTGGCCTACAACCCAGGCCTGTGCCCTGACTGGGAACTGAACCAGTGACCCTTGGGTTCACAGGCCAGCACTCAATCCACTGAGCCACACCAGCCAGAGCTAAAACTTTGTTCTAGTAAATTTAATCTTTCCAGCAATCTATGAGGTAGATAATATAATTTCCTTGAGGGAGCTAAGGATTAGAGAAGGTAAATCACTTGTCTTAGGTCACATAGCTAGTATGTTACGGAATCAGGAGTCAAACATGGCTTGTCTGAATGGGAAGTCCATCTACTTCATGAAGCTTTATAGCATCTGCTTTCTCTTTTATTTGTAATTTCTTTTTATTCTGATTCCTACTGAATAGGGGACAAAAGCCAATCAGGTTTGCCTGACATCCATCAACCAGGCCCTGGACAACTTGTCACAGCCCAGCTTTGCCTGCCTTGCTGTGTCTTGGGTAAGTCATAGCTTTTCAGCCAGCCTTTGGTGTCCTCAAATGTTTTATGGCGAGGTTAACGGCCACGTTCGTTCTGCAGCTGAGGTCTGGCTAGGAGGGTGGAGTTTAGCTTGGATTGGACCGATGTTGGAGTGGTGATGGGGGGAGGGGAGAGGAGTGGAGGTTGTTTCTAGCCCCACCCTCTGGTGACATCACATAAGACAGCTCCAGTCCCTGGAAACCCTGCCCCTAGTGACCCTCACCTGTGGAAGTGCCACCCAGTGCTTGGCATCTGGCGAATTTGCTGAGTCCCACAGCAGAAGTCATCAGCCCCTGGCTCTAGAGAAAGCCCTAGGTAAGCAGCGCAAGGGGGCCGTGGAGCTGTTCTGGGCTGGGGTGGGATGCCTGAGAGGCTGCTCTGGCAGCCTGGTGGGCAGGCTACTCAGAGGTTGCCGCAAGGGTGCGTCTGCGTCGCCATCCCCATCCTTCCGCTTGCTCCTTTCCCTGAATCTGGGGCCCTTTTCCACGGAGTGAGGATATGGTTCCTGATATTCTTAGAATAGACCTGTTCAGATGGACGGGGGCCTTTGGCTGAGGTCTAAAGGAAATAGGGTGGCAGGCCTCTGTCATCTCAGTGTGTGGCCTCTGCCTTCTGTGCTCAGGGCCCACTGTGCCTGGGTGAGGGGGAGGCTGTGAATGAGGCCGGAGCTGTGAGCCAGGGCTTCCCTGGTGTGGAGCCAGGGGCTAGCTGCTACTTGGAGGAAACTGAGGTCCCTGGATGTGAGTCAGCTGCTAGAAGCGTAAGAATAATTTATAGGAAAGAACCTGGTTGCCTGGCAGAAGTATTTTCTGAAGCAATAGTTTCTGTGGGATGCAGACAGGGGTGACGGGAGGCAGGGCAGCAGCAGCAGGGTGGCTAAGGGTATGTGCTCTCCGGTGAGGGAACTGGGTCCAAGTCCCAGCTCCGCCTCTCTCCCTGCGCCTGTGTTACCTTGGGTAAGAAGCTAACCTCTCTGAATTTCAGTATCCTCAACAACAAAACGGACATAATAATATCTACCTCACAGGCTAGTTACAAGAATTAACTGCAACAAAGTTATAAAGAGTACGCATACAGTAAACACTTACTACATTTTAGCTGGCTTTATAACGTAGTTATTACTGGGAAGGGAATCCTCAGTCGTGTAAGCTTGGCGAATGTAGGTTCAATAATAAAGCGAAGCAGGCTTCCTTGCTGAAGGACTTCTCAGAGTCTTTAATATGCTGCTTATGCCTTGGGAAGTTCTGAGAGTGGGATATGGAGCATTTGACTGACCTAATGGATCACGGAGACCCTGGAACTAGGCCACCATAGCATGTCATCCTTCCCTGGTCTTTGCCCTTGTGGTGTGACTGAAACCTTGCTGGATTGGGCAACTTTGGGAAAGGCCTTTCTGTCTCTTGGTTCTTGTTCCTCAGTGTAAAACAAAGTTGCTGGATGAGATGCTTTCAGAGGCCTGTTTTGGCTCCTTGAGGCCCTGACATAGGAAGACAAAGTTGTAGACAAGGATGGAGGCCAGGTTGTGGAGGCTGAAGGCCAGTCTTTTGGGGAGGAGGAGACCCAGTGTTGGCTCCCCAGCCCGCAAGGCAGGCCAGGGTGTTCTTATGCTTGGGGTGGAAGCGGTCCCATTAGTCCATCCGCCAAGTCTGCTTCCTAAACGAACTGTGTGCCAGGCTGTCTGGGGAATAGGAAGTGGAAGAGCCCTGGGCTCCCCTGTTGTAGCCCTCTTCTTCGTGCAGCAGAGTGATGGCCTCTTTCACACCTGCCTCCCCGCTGGACTAGGAAAGGCTACAGACCAGAGCTACTCCAGGGTTGTAATGCGGGAAAAGCTTACAGATGCATGTGAGGCTCGGGGTGAGGAGGAGTGTGGGCTGGGGGCTTGTATTTTCTTTTCTAAATTTAATCTTTATTATATTTTTTCCAATACCATTTAGTTCCCTTATACCCCTTCCCCCTAGCAATCACCACACTGTTGTCCATGTCCGTGAGTCCTTTTTCCTTTTTGTTCAATCCCTCCACCCTCTAACTTTCTTCCCCCAACTCATTAGCTGTCATCTGTCCTCCATCTAAGTAGTCTGTCTGTATTTTGCTTGTTAGTTCAGTTTGTTCATTAGATTCCACATATGAGTGAAGTCATATGGTATTTGTCTTTCTCTGACTGGCTTATTTCACTTAGCATAATGTTCTCTATGTCCATCCATACTGTTGCAAAGGATAACATTTTCTTCTTTTTTTATGGCTGAATAAAATAAAGGTTTTATCTATTAGAGGGGAAAGGAGGGAGAAAGAGAGGGAGTGAAACATGATATGTGAGAGAAACAGCAATTGGTTACCTCTTATGCCACCAACCAGGGACCTGATCCACAACTCAGGCATGTGTCCTGACAGGGAATTGAACCAACAACCTTTTGGTCCCCAGGCCAGTGCTCAGTCCGCTGAGGCACACAAGCCAGGGCAGGTGCTGCCTTTGCACAGCAAGGCACATGCATGTACTTGGACTGTGTGTGAATTAGTGAGTGGCTTTCAGGGTGATCCTGGTGCTGCTGGTGGTGAAGAACATGACTGCTTTTTCCTACCCAGGCCTCCTTGCCTCTTGCAGTGCAAGAAGAGTTGTAATAAAATCTGATGAATGATGGACAGAAAACCTGGATTCTGAGTTCAATAAGCTTGCTGGAGGGAATTTATTTGATAGAACAGAGTTGTCTGGCAGGTGCTATATTTTTAATAGATATTTGATTTAGTGAATAATGATAAGTCTGAATAAAGCAACTGGTTACTGGGCAAATGCTATAAAAAACTATTTATAGCATATAATTATAAAGTGGTTAGCGCTTGGCCACCTTATCTTGCAGAGGACAGTTTAGGATACTGATTAAGACTAGAAACAGAATTTAGATTGTACCTCTGCTGCTTTCTAGCTAGGGTACTTAACTTCTCTGTGCCTCAGTTGATAGTATCAACTTCACAGGGTGTTATGAAGTGTAAATGTGTCAATTAAAATGCTTAAAACAGTGGCACATTGTAAGTGCTGTGTAAGCATTTGCTATGATTTGTTTTCCTTTCTATAATCTCTACCATATCTTGAAGTGTCTGAGGACAAGGCCCAAATCCTTTTTCCCTCTGCCCTCCCTGGGATCCAGCACAGGACTTGAAGCAGAAGAGGAGCTCAGTGTTTGCTAAATGAATGAATGAATGCATTTTAAATGCTAAATTGTGTAACTCAGTTTAGGTTTCCCCCAGAGGAATGTGGGGAGGGGGCAGTAAGGAGATCCCCAGGAGGTGGCAGCTCCTGGAGGGAAAGGAAGTTGGTCCAGGGTGTGACATTTGGGTTAGGTGGGAAATGAGGGCAGCAGCAGGTTATGGGGTCTTGAATGCTGGGGTGAGGGGTTAGGTTTGTTTTTTGTTTTTTTTTTGTTTTTTTTTGGAATGAGCAACCATGGCTGGAGTGGAAAGGCTGGAAGGTAAGCGATAGTAGGAACTCACCAAGTAGAGAAGTCATCATCTGAGGTTCAGGGAGCCAGGAAAGTATCATAGAAGAAGTAGGTTTTGAGGGATGAATATGAGTTTGCCAGATAGGCAGGAGGAAGAAATGTCTTAGGTGGAGGGAACAGCTTATGAAAAGCTGTAGATATTTCAAACAGGCCTGGGGGTTGGTGAGGCTGTGGCTGGGTTTGAATACATTGTGGTTGAGCAATAAGGCTGGAAAAGGAAGCAGGGACTAGATCATGTAGGGCAGTGGAGGGTCAGTGGGAGAGTGAAGGGACTAAAGACAAGCAGCTGATCTGTTAGCGTCATTGTCGCCACTAGGTGAACACTGATGGCAGCATAAACATGGGGGCTGTTGTGTGGAGCCTGGACTGGAAAGGAAATGGCTGAGGTAGCGAGCCTCATTAATGAATGCATTCCTCAAACGTTTATTGAGCACCTACTATGTGTCAGGCACCGTTCTAGGCATTTGGGATACGTAAGGGAGCAGGACAGTCACGAGGCAGCTGAGCTCTCCCTTAGGACGACTCCTTTCTTCTGAAACCCAGTGTAAAGAGAAGGGGGAGGGGAGGAGAGAGTAAGAACTGGACACAGGGGTGAGGGGATGAGGACAGCAGCCCTTGACTTTGCTCTGGTCCCTCTCCCAGATCCCTGCCCAGTCCACAGCCATGGCCACAGCTGTGGCCCAGAAGCTTAGCCACTTTCTGCCCAGTGTGCGGCAGGACCACCAGGAGCCTCAGTCATCTGTGCAGCCAGAGCCTGTCTTCACGGTAGACCGAGCCAAGGTGCCTCCCCTCTTCTGGAAGCCGTACATCTATGTGGGCTACCGGCCACTGCATCAGACCTGGAGCTTCTACTTCCGCTCACTGTTCCAGCAGCACAACGAGGCAGTGAACGTCTGGACCCACCTGCTGGCAGCCCTGGTGTTGTTGCTGCGGCTCGCCATCTTTGTGGGGACTGTGGACTTCTGGGGAGACCCCCATGCCCTGCCCCTTTTCATCATTGTCCTCGCCTCCTTCACCTACCTCTTCTTCAGTGCCTTGGCTCACCTCCTGCAGGCCAAGTCTGAATTCTGGCACTATAACTTCTTCTTCCTGGACTACGTAGGTGTGGCTGTGTACCAATTTGGCAGTGCCCTGGCACATTTCTACTATGCCATTGAGCCTGCCTGGCACGCTCAGGTGCAGACCATTTTCCTGCCCCTGGCTGCCTTTCTTGCCTGGCTCTCCTGCACTGGCTCCTGCTACAACAAGTACATCCAGAAGCCCGGTCTGCTGGGCCGCACGTGCCAAGAGGTGCCCTCAGCGCTGGCCTATGTGCTGGACATCAGCCCGGTGGCACACCGCATCCTGGTGTCCCCCAACCCCGCCACAGATGACCTTGCTCTTCTCTACCACAAGTGCCAGGTGGTCTTCTTCCTGTTGGCTGCTGCTTTCTTCTCGGCCCTCATGCCTGAGCGCTGGTTCCCTGGCAGCTGCCACCTCTTTGGGCAGGGCCACCAGATCTTCCATGTCTTCTTGGTGCTGTGCACGCTGGCTCAGCTGGAGGCTGTGGCGCTGGACTATGAGGCCCGGCGGCCCATCTATGAGCCACTGCACACTCGCTGGCCTCACAACTTCTCCGGCCTCTTCCTGCTCACCGTGGGCAGCAGTGTCCTCACTGCGTTCCTCCTGAGCCAGCTGGTGCGACGCAAACTTAGTCAGAAGACTCTGTGACAGGAGCTGGCAGCTGGTAGGGAGGGAGGTAGAGTGGGAGCCCAGGGGTCTGGGCTTGGCCCCATATGGGAACAAGGCCTGGTAAAGTTGTTTGTGTCTGGACTGCACTGACTCTGCACACACCTCAGCTGCAAAGGGTGGCATTGGCCAGTCCTTGGCCCTCGGATTTAGGGATGGGCCTGGAGCTGCTGGAGTCCCTCCTGAGCCTGCCCTAGCTCCCTGACTTGGGAGAGGGAAAGAGATAAAGATGTGGGCCACCCTGGTTTGCCTCCCCCCATTGCCTCTCACTAGGTGTGAGGATGGGAGGGTGAGCTGGGGCCAGGACTCTGGTTTGGGGCTTCCGGATTATCTGGGTGGGGGTGAAGGTGGAATTTAGGCCAGAGTTAGATTTGGGCTGAGGGGCAGAGGAGGCCTCAACAACTCCCATCTACCCAGATTTCATTAGTGGATAGGAAGGGGCAGGGCCAATATGTGTACAGGAATTACCATTGTTTGAACCCAAGCCTGGAGTTTTGGAGCTTCAGAGTCCTGAAAGGTAAAGATTGGGCCAGGTGCAAATGGATCCCATCCAGTGCCACATACCTCTCAGTCACTCTTCCAGACAGTGAACCCAACACTCCTACCTTTGGCCTCCGTGTTCTTCATGTCCTGTTCCCAGGCATTCTCTTGGTTCCCTTGTTTATAGTTCATCTATCCGTTCAGTGTTTTCAGGGCTTCTGCTCAGAGGCAGGCCACAGACTGGGCCCTGTGGATCAATGCAGGATCAAAGACTTCAACAGTGGAATGAACTGTCAGGGGAAGCACTGAGGAGGGAACAATCCATATGGCCTGGGGCCCTCAGGGTCTTGGGTTCAGAAGGGTGAATAGGAGTTCTGCAGATGGAGAAGAGGGAAGGCATTCTAGGCAGAGGGAAGAACCTGTACAAAGGCCAAGAGGCATGGAAGGAGTTCAGTGGGGCTGGAGCTAGGGGTGGTCTGGACTCTGATATGTCCTAAATGCAATAAAGTTACTGTGGTAACAGTTGCCTCTTTGTTTTTTGTCTCCTGTTCCAGGGATACCCATGGACCTGCTCATGGTATGAGTTTTTTTGGGGGGGTGGGGGGCAGGATCCCCTGGGGGTGAGCACAGGAAGGAGGGGGCAGTTACTATTTTATCTTTGCCTGAGGTGACTTTGGGGCCTTATACAGTATATGTGTGAACTTTTTTTTTTTGTTAGGGGAGTGGGGGGACAGTTTTAGTACTAAATAAAATTTAGATGTTAAAAGAATATTTTAAAAAATCCCATTTTATAATTTGACAAAGATTTTATTTTTTGGTCTTCAAACAAGGAGGATTTTATGTTAAGTTTTTATAGTACTGCTATATGTTAACTTTTATTTATTTTTAAAAGATTTTATTTTTAGAGAGAGAGGGAGGGAGGGAGAAAAAGAGGGAGAGAAACCTGTGTGATTGCCTCTCGCACACCCCCTGCTGGGGACTTGGCCTGCAACCCAGCCATGTGCCCTGACTGGGAATTGAACCAGCTACCTTGTGGTTCTCAGGCCAGCACTCAATACACTGAGCCACACCAGCCAAGCCTATATGTTAACTTTTATAATACTGCCTTTTTTCAGAGTATATAAGCAATATATGTACAGTGAAGGAAAATTAGGAAATGCAAATAAGAAAACCCCCTAAATGCCTAAGAAATAAATACACACACACACACACACACACACAATCTCAAAAACGATGGCATCCCACCTGTCCTTCCATCCCTAGGGAAGGATGCCATCATTTTTGCATTTTGGAGAGGCTTCCAGAATTTACAAAGTACTTTAACAAACGTTACTTCACTTGATCTTTCAAATTCAAGGTCACATAGTAAGCCATGAAGGCAGGACTGAGAGCTAGTTCTTGACTTCAGATTTTTAGTGTTCACTTTAACATTTTCTAAATCCTTTTCCATGTAGTTTCATAGTTAAGCTTAGATTTACTTTCTTTGAATTACAAAAGTAATTCATATACTCTAGGGTATATTAACCATTTTAGGGTAGTGTTGTGGACCGAGCTTTGAAGTCAGCGGATCTTAAATGAGGCTCCACCCTTCCTTTTTGAGACAAGGAAAAACCCTGAGCCCTGGGGTGGTTATTTTATTTACAATAAGAAAGTACAACTAACTCAGCAAAAAGAAAATGCACGTTTCTTATGCAGAGTCGAGAACGCGTTCACACAGCGTATTTCCCTTGAATGAAAAGAGCAGAAAGAACAAGAAATCCATAGAGAAACGAAAGGGACTCCACCACCACAGGATGGGTTTGTGGGTCGGGCTGAGCTTAGGGAAAGGGGCGGAGCTTGGACCGAGCCTGAGGAGCCGCTGGGGGCGGTACCTGCGCCAGCGCGGCCGCGACGTAGCTCCGCCCTCAGAGTTGGCGCGAGATCTGAACGTAGGCTGGGGCTGTTGTATCTGTTCCTGAGGCGGTTCGAGTCTCCTCCACCCGTTGTCAGGTTGGCTTGGCCTCCTCAGCGGTCATGAGACGCGGAGGCCCCGAGGTGGAGGCCTGCGGTGTGTGGCTGGACGCGGCGGCGCTGAAGAGGCGGAAAGTGCAGGTGGGACGCTGGGAAGCGAAAAGGTGTTTGGGGACCGTGAGGTGCTGGAAGTGAAGTCGGAGGCTGAGAAAGGAGCAGCTTTGGGAATTCAAAGGCGAGAGAGAGTGGAGCCTGAAGAAGGATGAAAAATGGAGTTTGGAGAGGGCGGAGGGAAAATGGGGGCGGAAGAAGGAAGACCGGAGGAATACGGAGTTCTGGGACAGCAGGTTTCGAGGTGTGCGTCGGGGTGGGTGGAAAGAAAATTGGCTCCGAGGAGTCTGATCGAGCAGACTCCCGAGGAACTCGGAGTCCCTGCGAGGCGGCAGGGCTTCTCTGCTGAAGTACTGGGAAGTTCTCATCCTGCGGGTCCGCCAGGTTGTAGGCTATCTACCTGCGAGAACCGGGAAATTCAGGGGAAAAAAATAGACGGGAAGGGGGACTGGCGTCATATTTATTGAGCATCCACTGGTTGTCAGATACTCCATTAAAGTACTTAATATGCATTATATGTATCATCACCTTTATGGGAATGACGAAACTGAGGTTAAGTAACTAACCCAGGCGCGCCCAAATAGGAAAGATTGGCTATCACACCCAGGTTTGTCACATAATCAAGATTCTGTGTTAGTCATTGCAAAGGAACAAAATAAAGATCTCTAATGTTTATTGAGCATTTTATACTCTGCATTGTTACGTATTTAAGATATGGTCTCTTGTTTGGTACAACTCTATATGGTAGCTTCTATGATAATACCCATTTTATACTTAAAAACTGAAGCTCAAAACACACGAAAGGCTCTAAAGTCTTAGGGGGAAGAAAAGAGATACACTTTGCTGGCGTGTTACATGCTTTATGAATTGTAGGGACTCACAAAAATTCAGGGAAGTAGGTACTGCCATTATCTCTACTTTACAGATGAAAAACTGAGGCTGAGATTAAGAAATTTACACAAGTAAGCAGGGGTTCGAGCACAGTTTTCACTGCTGCAACAGCCAGTGCTCTCACCCTCTACAAGACAGAAGAGAATATAGGCCCTCGTGAGTGTTATCAAGGGAAATGTGATTTTGGAGGCAAGAGGGATTTCTTGATTTGGGATTAACAAGGAAGATTTAACTGAGCAGGTGGGAAGGGATTTGAGATTAGGAAGGTGTGCTGAATTTAGGTAGTTTGGGCGATAATCTCAAGACCAGGTGGTTAATATGTAAACCATAAATGACAGTCTTTTCTGTGGGTGGCTACAACTTGTTTAATTGAGTACCGTTAAAGAAGCATCTTATAACTAGTTATTTTTGAGAAATAACAAATGAACCACCTGCTCCTTTAATTTTTTTTTAAACAGTGTTTTTGGGATGGGCAATACATTTCACATAGTACATAATTTAAAAGGTATAGGATATGTAGTAATGTATCTCCCTAATACTCCTAACTATCCTTCCCCATGTCAGAAGACACGACTTCCTTGTGTATCCTTCCAGAGATATTCTGTGCAACTACAAGCAAATGCATATCTTCTTTTTTATAAATAGGAGCATATTATTCATTGTTAATCCAATTTCCTTTTTCACTTATTCCATATTATGGATCATGTTATATGCATTCATAAAGAGCTGCTCCATTATTTTTAAACACTATACAGTATTCCATTATATGGAATAATATTCATTAATACGACAGTATTGTCTTAGTCGACTCAGGTCAGGTTCTAGTAAGAACTTTCCCCTGTCCTGCAGGTGGCCGCATTCTCACTGTGCTCACATGGCCTTTCCTTGGTGCATACTGTGTGGGGGGAGAGAGAGACAGGCAGGAGATACAGGTATACCTTGGTTTTATTGTGCTTCACAGATGTGATTTTTACAAATTGAAGGCAAGATCCTCTGCTAGCAAAAAAATTAGTTTGCTTAATGGCAATACTTTATTGAGGCGGCCTGGAAGCTGTTAAACTTGTTGGTTTTTGCCCTGCAGTTGTTAATTGATTAATCCCTTGTCTCTTCCTTCTACTCTCTGGCCTGCTGTAATTTAAGTTAGGATTTCTCAGAATATTCTTTGTCAAACAAAATCCTCCGTATCTCTGTAGAATACCTGTAGATAGATTTGGCTTGAAGGCCAGCAAGAAGGGCAGCATGGCTGGAGCAGAGTGAGGCAGAGGAGAGTAGATGAGATCTAAAAAGTGTAAGAGGGCAAACATGGCTGGATTGTGCCTGTGGGGGTTGGGGCTTCAACAATTTTGGGAGGATACATTTCAGTCCATAGCAAGTTTGTATATACATTTATATATATTTATCCGTTCTTTATTGACAAAAGGTTATATCCAATCTTTTGCTATTAACACTTCTGCAGTGAAAAATTTGTACACACATCATTTTGCACATACATGGATGTATCTGTAGAGTGAATTTCTAGAAGTGTAATCACTAGGTCAAAGATGTATCTGTTTTTAAAATTAAGAACATGAAACATGTAACTTTGTTTAGTAAATACAGAAGTCTCCCCCTTCTATCCAGTTAAAGTTTGGGTCACTTCAGGAACCCAAAACACATTTTCTACAAAGCAAGCTTTCCTGGGAGAGGACCTTATGTCAGCCTTAGAGGCAGTGTAAATTAAGCTTGTTAAATAAGTAACGTTATCTTGCTTCCTCAGTAACCTTTTTGTTCTTCTCTAGTTTGTGAATTAGTATGCAAAAAAACATAAATTGTATCATATTACAACACAGACAAATTTGCTGACCCCTAAATTTGTTTTTTCCCCAAATATAGAGGAAAAGGCTAATTTATGGTTAGTAGGGAAATATACATATTTATTAAAAAATGATCAAAATGTGCGATGGGTATTTATTCTTGAATTAGGAATAAGTTTCTATTATTAGAATACATTCTTGAAGGAAATATCTGATGGGTGGAAAACCTGTGTACCAGTTTAATTTAGAAAAATGAGAGAAATGGAAAAGAATTAGAGTTCAGGAAAGAGAGGGAGTAACCAACCCATAGGGAAGAGGAGGAGAGCCATTTTTTGTCTTTATGTATGCAGCTCTGTTACCCCAAATCACACCTTTTTCTTTCATGGTATTAATGGTGAAAACATTTGTTCTACTGATCTATTGCGTGGTGGGAACACACTCCAATGTCTCTAGGCCCTTACCTTCCTCTGATTTCTGGAGACCTGAACCTTATGACTACAGTTACTGATATCATTTCCCCTTCTTGTTAGTTTATTCCCAAAGAGTCCTGTTTAAAATTTTGGTTCCTTCACTAGTTTCCTGTTCTTTTGACTGTAAGACCTCCAGCCCATAGCAAAATACTAAAGGTTCCATTTCACATGATAAATAAACCTGCCTCTTTCTAAAGTAGCTATCAACTAGACACAGGTTTGAGTTTAATGTCAGGGATTGATAAGCAGTAGCTACTGGCCAGTGTTTTAAAAAACATGTCCCTTCCTAACTGGATCCCTAAACAGAATTGCCTGCTATTTGGGGGAGGATGGGGGGTGTTTTGTAGTCTGGCTAGAAGATAGGGGGTCTATGTTTGAAGGGAGTTTGCGTCTCTTCTGGGCTGACTACCCACAGAGACGAGCTGGCTTGGCCTTGTTACTGCAGGATAATGTATTTGCTTTCATTTCAGTCTTCTTATAATGAGAGCAATACCTGTTTGTAAAAAAAGATACAAATAGTATAGAATTGTGTTAAGTGAAAAACAAAAGGCCTCACTGGCGGTAGCTACTATTAACAATTTGGTATTCTTTGATACATATATTTATTTATATGTATATAAATAATATACCCTGGCTAGCTAAGGTGGTTAGAGAGTTGTCCTGAAATGCCAAGGTTGCAGGTTTGATCCCTGGTCAGGGCACATACAAGAATCAACTAATGTATCAATAAGTGGAACAATAAATCAATGTTTCTTCTTCCCCAACCCCCACCAAATTAATAAATAAAATAATTTAAAAATATATTTCCCCATGGACAAGATTATATCAACCGTATTGTTCTGCTGTTCACCTTTTGCTAAATATATGATGGAGAACTTTCCATGTGAGAGATAGGGGTTTCAGTATGGGATTTTTAAAAGGTCATGTTTTTAAAAAAGATTTTATTTATTTTTAGAGAGAGGGGAAAGTAGGGAGAAAGAGGGAGAGAAACACTGATGTGAGAGAAAAGCATTGATTAGTTTTGCCTCTCACATGTGCCCCAGCTGGGGTCCACTCAACCCAGGCCTGTGCCCTGACTGGGAATAGAACTGGTGATATTTCACTTTGCGAGATGACGCCCAACTAGCTGAGCCACACCAGACAAGGCAAGGCCATTTTATTTTATTACAAAACGTTTTTTATTGTATTCCCCCCCCCATTATCATCTAGTCCCCTTATACCCCCATCCTCAACCACCACACGGTTGTCCATGTCCATGAGTCCATTTTCCTTTACAAGGCCATTTTAATTTACATAATTTTTAGATTTTTTATTTTAACTTTGCTGCCTCTATTTGAAAACATTGAGAAATATTGCTAACAGGTTTTCTTACACATGAAAGAGGCAAAATGTTTTAGTTGTGATATGTATATTTGCTCTCAGGTGTATTACATTTAACTCAAAAAAATTTCTATTTCTTCTTCATTTATAATGTAGTGTTCTTCACCCTTTAAATATGTAGCAGAAAAGGAGAAGCAGACATAACTAAGAGGGAGATAGAAATGTGAAGATAATAAAAAATCTTGGCTGAGCGGCCAGTGAGTGTTTTCTTGCCCAGCGTTGGCAGAAATCTAAATGTCACTCTCACATTCTGCAACTTTACCAACAGTCCATCAGCAAATTCTCTGGACTCTGGGCTTTAAAATATGTTTAGAATCTCATAATTTCCTACTATTGGGTTGGCCAAAAAGTCCGTTTAGTTTTTTCCCCTAAAATAAAAGACATTTTTCATTTTCACCAATAACTTTTATTGATTTGGATATTTTGAGTATGTCTGCTATCTCCTGCTATTGGCTTCTAGTGGGTAGAGGCCAGGGGTGTGGCTAAATATCTTCCA